GTCCCCACACAGTGGCATATGACTCAGCCTCAAAAAGGAGGGACATTCTGACACACGCTGCAGCATGGCCGTACCTTGAGGACACAATGCCAAGTGAAAGAATCCAGGCAAAAATGGACAAATACCGTATGAGTCCACATCTGTGAAATATCTAGAACAGGCAAATTCACAGAGACAGAAAGTAGATTAGAGGTTACCGGGGACCGAAGGGAGGAAGGGGAGCGGGGGAGTTCTTGCTTAATGAGGACAGAGTTTCTGTTTGGAAGGATGAAATTTCTGGAACTAAATAGAGCTGGTGGTTGTGCAACATTGTGAATGTCGTTAATGCCACCAAACTGCACACTTAAAAATGGTTCGATGGCTAATTTTAAGTTGTATATATTTTACTACAGTGAAAAAAAGATTTTTTTAAAAAAGGAAGGGGGTCTGTGAGAGACGTAGGGGGGCTGCCTGGGGACCCCCTTCCCAACCCCCTCCGAGGGTCAGGGTCCTGAGCCCCCTTCCCTGGCTGCTCCCCTGAAAGGCAGGCCAAGCTTCATCAGGACTTAAAAAGCAATTCTGTCCACTTTGCCTCTTATCCAAAGACTGGGTGGGGAAGAAGGTGACACCATCTGTGCAAATAAAGTTTGGGGAAAATCTGTGGGTTTCTCACGCTGGAGCCTGCCTGTGCCCCATTGCCAGCCATGTGGCATTGGGTAACCCTGACCCTTTTGGGCTGCAGAGTCTGTGCGAGGAAAAGCGATGTCTACATGCAGACAGGAGACACAGGCGCCCGGCTGCCCCCTGCCTCGCGGCCGTCCTCCTGCCGGGCACTGCGGTGGCCGGGCTTTCAGCATCTGCCCTCACGAGGCATCCGCTGGTGCTTTTCGGGTCTGATTCCACAGCAGGCCTCATCTGAGTTGGCCGTTCTCTGGCTGCGCTGCCTGGGAGCAGGCTGCTTAACATCTCTGAACCCCATCGAAGGATCTCAAGATGAGATCATTCTGGATTAGGGTGGGCCCGAAATCCAGCGACACACATCGTTAAAGAGGGCTTTGTGGGGCCGGCCCAGTGGCGCACTGGATAAGTGCACCGCTTGGGAAGCGTGGCGGCGCTCCCGCCCAAGGGTTCG